AGATACCATCATCATCGAATGAACCAGTGATGCATAGAAGTAACTAATGAAAAACAAAACTCAAAGTAAATTATAATAATAACAAACAACAGGAATAAATGATAATTACCAACAGTAATAATAACTGACAATAACAATAATATTGATAACAAATGGAATATCAATGAGATGTCTTCCTTAGCAAATAACGAAACATTGATTCAAGAAGATGAGATCGAATTTTTGAGATTTGAAGGAAAGCGGGAAAGTTGCTTCTTTAAACGATTGTCTATAACTGTCAAAGCATATCTATAACTGATTGCTATTATACTGCAATTACTTCCTGTATAATGGTATATCCAAAACATCTTCTTCGAGAATTTCATCTGAAATTAATTAATCAATCCGGTAAATTGATAGAAACGCGAGAAAGTACTCGCACGAAAACAATCAACTTCAGACAGGTTCTGTCCTTTTGGAGCCCACTCCACTCATAACGTTTGTTCAAATGAAGTCAAATACAAAGTTCAACCCCACCAGAAATGAAGTAAATTGCAACTGATAGTTGAATACGGCAAGAATGGAACGAGAATAAATGAGCTGAACAAGCAACCTTCTAAGAGCCCTCCATCGCTCGCGTCACCACTTATCACATCACACTTATGGTCGCAAACAGATCGCATAACTTGATCAATTTGCAACTTTCGCGTTACTTTGCCCACTGATGTCATCCGAAATTCACTGGAATCGTAACATTCAGCGTCATCTCGCCAACAACTGAAATGCTCGATTTGAGCATCAGGATCGACACGTTTAAACTGCTCTTCGGCAGTTTCACTTCTCAAACGTAGTCCACCGATTTCAGTAGTCATCTGAATTGAATTCATTCGTTTGATGTTTCTTTGTGATGGAAAATTATGGCAAAATTCACACTGCACTTCAATCAATTTGGTAGCTTTAAGCAATTTAACGGGATTTTTAAATGTAAGAGCGATATTTTGCAATCAATGATGATCTGAATCAGATGACCGCTTCATACTGATGTTTATTTCCAAAGAAATCCGAATAAAGATACTCACTGGCTTTGATGTTTCAATTGTACTACTTCCACTGTTTGTCTCTTCACAGAAAACATCGAATGTGCTTTTGGACGAATTTGATTTCTTGTTCGATGATACTGATGAAGAGACTGTTTTGCCATCTTTTAGTGGTTTCTTGCTTTTACGATCGCATCCTTTCTGAGTGTTCTTTTTATCCTCGAGTGCTTTACGCAGTGGCAACTGAACTGTTTCTCGAGCTATGCCACCACAGATCTCTTTATAAGATGCTAAAGATGAAGACGCTACAACCAAAACTGGAACATGACAGATAATGCCAGAAATTCATAATTACCAACATTTCTCAGCAAATATCTACGGACTGATATTGAACGACTGATATGAATTTGAAATTTATGATATTTGAACCCACAACCTCGGAACTGAAACATTTGGAAATTTATTCAACGACTATCGCAGCCTTTCGCATATTCAACTTGAATACATGAAATTCGAGTGCTACATTGCATTTTCTTGTAAAAACTGTTTACTGAGTCTGACTGATATAAGAGAGAATCTCGGCTGCTCACTTACTTTGGTTAATGGTTGAATTGTTGAACGTAGGTTTCAGGAGGTTGCAGCGATCATGGTTTCGTGTGTGCTGGAAAGCAGGTGGTTCATTTGTAGATTGTACATCGTCCATTTCTGAATCTCATCCGTAAGCGTGTTCTCATGCACAGGAAGAAAGCTCATTAATTGTGAACGATGGGCTGAATGTGAATATTTCATTTGACATGAACTGTTGCACGTGAAAATATTCATCTTTTAAAAACTTTTTCATAGAAAGAAGTTTTGTACGAATCGGTTTGGTTCTTTAATATGAGAAGATATAAAGAGTTGAAATGCGACGTGCATGCAAATCGAATTTAAATGCACTGTAACATCATTTTATATGACGTACATGCAATTAATCATTCGAAGATTTGTTATAAATTGTGATCCAAAACAGTGAACAACTCATTGAACGAATAAATAATGACTGAGTATAGCAGTGAAACAAAAACCGTTTTAATAGTTTCACATCCCTACAGCACGGAAATGTTATTGTGAACGATTCAAATGCAATAGATTGTGATGGTTTGAATATATACAATGAAATGAATTCATGATCGAGTGTTTCTAACTTGGACTGTAATGAAATTTTGGTAAAATTAAGGCAAGTTTACAAATTCTGATGAAATCCCCTTGAGTGAAGCAAATTTTCTGGGTTTTTCGTGTGAATTTAGTGAAACTGAGAGGACTTCTTATGAGGTGGTTTAAAAGAATGCTTCGGAAGATACAAAATTGCTGCGGCTGATTGAAACCGGAAGATTTCGTTCGGAACGTGTTCCAAATGGACATTTTATTATTTCGTTAAATTGATTCAACATATTGATTCAAAATTCGTTATTACTGTTTGGAGGGAATTTGATGCGTTGTTTTCGGTCAATCAATCGAAGCGATCAATTACTTATCGATACGAAAGAGGGCGGTCCGTCAGCGATGATCTGATGTTGTCTCAGCGTGCGCCTATGCGAATGGTCCATATAAGCAGGGATTGGCGTGCTGCAAACATCATTCGATCAGATACTCGTATCGCGAATATTCAGTGATGTCAGGCCGTGGTAAAGGAGGCAAGGGTCTTGGAAAAGGAGGCGCCAAGCGCCATCGCAAAGTGCTTCGTGATAACATTCAAGGAATCACGAAACCGGCAATCCGTCGTTTGGCTCGTCGAGGCGGTGTGAAAAGAATCTCAGGCCTCATCTACGAAGAGACTCGTGGTGTTCTGAAGGTCTTCCTTGAGAATGTTATCCGTGATGCCGTCACCTATTGTGAGCACGCAAAGAGGAAAACGGTCACCGCGATGGATGTCGTCTACGCACTGAAACGTCAAGGCAGAACGCTGTACGGTTTCGGAGGCTAAGTCTCGTGATCTCACGATTCAAGACCAACATCAAACATTTCTAAACCCAACGGCCCTCTTTAGGGCCACAAATTGATAAACCGAACTTGATCATTATTAAATGTTATTGTATTGACGGTCCTGATAAAACTTATTTTCATTAATGCTTTCGTTTTGTTTCCATCCAAAAGCATCGTTGTGTTGGGGTGAAGTGTTGTTCTCTGGGCACTATTGCACACATCGGTCGCCACACGCGCTTAGTTTATTGCGCATTACTTCACGCGCACACATTCTTCAATACAGAAAATAGAGCTGATAACTCATCTTTTCTCTCATAAGTCATCTCTTAGTACATTTACATAGCCACGGTGGAAAATTTGACGGGCTCCAATGCAATACATATCATCTTCCCTTTCATATCTTTTGAGGGAAAATTCGAACGGCTTTACTTTCCAACGCCTTGTGAACGGTGAACAGTCATTTACATTGCGCTTTCTCTCCCTTCCCTTCCACACTATTCATCGCACTCTCCACACCCCTCTCCAGCCTATCGCTCATCACATGCAAACATTTCGGTGCTATATATCAACGCCGTGATAATCCGTCTCTGTTCAGCAATACGCATCTGCTTAAGAATACGCATAGCCCCACCGCTTAGGCTACGCACAGGCTTAGG